TCTATCTGCTGATGAGCATAATCACTCATATCCTTTTCAATTTCCACCTTTATGAACATAGTGATCTTAGGCAATTGTCTACCGATTCTCTTTTCCATGTCTAGTCAACAGTGATTCATTGATTTCTGACTGTAGAATAAATCAGCTTGTGCTTATGAAGATGATACAGTACCAGTGAGTCACAAAGGCATCTACCGATTCTCAGTCACCCTCAGAAAGAAGTACTATGTAGTTTTCCTTCTCAGAGAAATGGAGTATTACACTGCTTTGTGGCCATTCTTTGAATCATATATCATTAAGATTTGACATGACTATTTTTAAATGACTTGGGATTAGACAAATAGGAGAATTGTCCTATTTGGTTTTGCTTTCAGATTTAATGACATACAGGCTTTGAGAAGTGAGCAAAGTCAGTTTTTCTGGCTTGGAGGGATCCAGGCTCCCCTTTCCCATTCCATATTCTCCATACTCTCTTTTCCTTTTCTTCTCAGAGTCTCTCTCATAGCCAAAGCAGAATTTTATGACTCATTCATTTATTCAGTAAATATAATTGAGGAATTATGTTCAGGGGTAAGCCCTGGGAATGCGATGCTGCCTACCTTTTTACAGCACTTAGTCTACTACAGGGGTTGGGAGGGGTGGTGGCTTTAGATCCATCCTACTGCCTGAGTAAAGTTTTATTGGAACACAACCATACCCACTCATTTACAAATTATCTGTGGCTGCTTTTGCATTATAATGGCAGACTTGAATAATTGTAACGGAAACCCTGTGGTCTACAAGGTCTAAAATGTTTACTACTTGATCCTTTACAGAGAAAGCTAATTACTCCTCTAGTGGGTATGGTGAAAAAAAAAGTACAGGCTGGACCCTGAAAAGTTTTATTAATCTTGTTAAAGAATGTAAACTCCCTTGAGAGAAGTGGCCCCACAGTGAAGTGTTGTAAATAAAGAAAGTAACTTGTTCATATTTGAATTTTAGGAAGTCACTATGGCTACTGTGTAGAATAAATAATGAAGAGAGACAGTAACTGCACACATTAGAATGAGAAGCACTACAGTGGAGTGGTTAAGAGCCTGGACTCTTGAACCAGACTGCCTCGATTCAAATCTTGGCCCTACCACGTACTGATTCTGATGTTAAATAACCTCTCTGTCAGATTTTCTACCAGTCAAATAGGGATGGTAATCACAGAACCTAACTCTTGGTTTAAAACACACACACACACACACACACACACACATACATGTGAAGCACTTAGAACATAGTGTTTTCAGTCATCACTATTATCACTATGGTAGTAATTCAGTTAAGAAGTGAGAGTGGTCTGAACTAAAACTGGCAGTGAGGGTAATGGAGAGAAGTAGCCAGATTCAGGAGCTACAAAGACAATACAATTGATAGATGTTAGTAATTGATTGGATGCCAATAGGGCAGATAAAAGAGAACCAGAAGTTGAGGATGAAATGCAGGTTCTGGATTTGATCAGTTGAGTGGATGGTGCTTCCAGTTTCCAAAGTAGGGAAGATAGTAATCGAAATGGGCTTGTGATATGAGGTAAATGTAAGTTCGGTTTGAGGTACTTAAATTTAGGTACTAGATTGAAATAAGCAGAAATTATACTAGGTACTAGAATTAGGTACTAGGTATGATAAGAATGATATAAGTAGAAATTTAGGAAGCAACCAACTGTAAGGTTTGGAGATCAAAAGTGTGATACGGACTAAGGAAATGGGATGTCGGAATGGTCAGTGTAAATTAGATCATGATGCTTGGAAAGTAATGCCCTACCCCAGAATAAGGGTGGAATGATAGGTAGACTTCTAAATCTTTTTTCAACATTTTATTTATTTTTGAGAGAGAGAGACAGAGTGTGAGCAGGGCAGAGAGAGAAGGAGATGCAGGATCCAAGGCAGGCTCCAGGTTCTGAGCTGTCAGCCCAGAGCCTGATGCAGGGCTCAAAACCACAAACCATGAGATCATGACCTGAGTCAAAGTCAGACGCTTAACCGACTGAGCCACCCAGGCACCCCTGGAATGATAGACTTCTAAGAGAACTATAAAGGACACCAACAGTGAAAGATAGGACAGAGAACCCTTAAAAGATCTTACCAACTTTTGGAGGAAGACAAGCATGAAGTTTAAATAGGTTAAATACGCTCTTGTTGGGGTGGGCAAATTTGAGAAATGTTTAAATTTGCAAGTTTTGCATTAGCATAGGCCAGCTTAAACCATAGCGTGCATTTATTCACATACTATGATTTTAGGTACCGTTGTACGCCATACTCTTCCAATATGTACTTTTCCCTTTATGGAATTTTAGGCAACATACAGAGCAGATGCTATGGTTCTGGATGTTGACATCTCATGACCTGTTCAATCTACTTTTCTGTATTTATTGGCATTTCCTTCCCCTGATTTTTTACCTTCCCAGTTGATAATTCACTATAGCCTTGATGTGAAAAATTGGAGTGAAGGAGACTGTCTTTCTTCTGTATGTGCTATACTAGGTTCAGCATCATCAGTTTGGGTCCAGTATCTTAGAGTTTGTCATGATTTTTCTATTTTAATTTCCTTATAACACTGCCACAGCACTTCTCTTTTGGAAAGAGCCAGGAGATAGACTGGAGACCTGTAACACTTTTTCCATCACCAGAATCAGTAGGGCTCACAGGTTAGCCTGTAGCTAAGTCCTTGCTCCTGAGGTGTGTGATGATTAGAAGCCTGATCCAGCAGGCTTATCTACTTTATAAACACATGCCTGAAGAAAGGTATCACATTTCTGTAACCACGCTGAGTGTGAGTTTTATATTTAGTTTTGTGTTACAGGAGGAACCTTGTGGCAAAGCTTTGAAATGGACCCAAAATACTACTAAGTATACTATCTGACTCCGCTTCTAGGCTGTCTCCCCCTTTCACTGTCTTTGGGCTGTTTTGTAGTGCTACAAATGATAGAAAAGTGATGGTAATGCAAAAGATTCTTGTCCATTGAAATTGTGTACAGTGGAGTGCAATTGGTTATTGCCTTGTGGATATTAACCGATGTTACCAGTTTTGTGTCTGTCTGAAATTCTTTGCAAGTATACTTGATATTTAGGCATTTGTTCTTTGGATTCACCTTTGAACCACTTGTAACATCATGTGGGTTTCGTTTTTAATTGAGCCAATTAAAATCTAGGTCCCATGTTAAATTGTTGTGTTACATATACATATGTACGTTTGTACATGCGTATAACATCTCTAGAAAGATTCACAGAGTCCTGGCTATGGGTGACTCTATAGAAGAGGAGTCAGGAAAACTTGTTTTTCGCTATATACCCTTTTGGATCCTTTGAATTTTATATCATATGCTTATATTACCTAACCAAATAAATTATCTTAAAAATTCCTTTTTGAAACCCCTCCCCCCAAATCAGTCATTAGCTAGCCCTCACCAATACTTGAACTAAGTTCACGTTTGAATTAACTGTCTTTTTTTATGTTTATTTTTGAGGAAGAGAGAGAGAGCACGTGAACAGGGGGAGGTGCAGAGAAAGAGGGGGACAGAGGATCCAAAGTGGGCTCTGCATTGACAGAGAGCCTGATGCAGGGCTCGAACCCACAAACTCTGAGATCATGACCTGAGCGCAAACCGAGTCAGACACTTAACTGACCGAACCACACAGGCACCCCAACTTAACTAGCTTTCTAAAGAGATCTTTGTTCCTAAAACTGTCAGCAGATAGCAACCTAAACCATAACATCATACCTAGCAGCTTCTGTACTCTTTAAAGTCTTTAACCTTACTTTTCAAGGTAGCTCTAACACTGTCAACACCTTTGGTCCGATGGCGCTAATTCTATTATGAAGCTATGAAGGAATCAGATAATTGTGGTGTGCAGCAAAGCAGCAGACCTGCTAGCCTATTTTGCAGTTCTAAGTTCACCTTGCCTCCTCCCCAGCTGTGCATACTCAATAATCCTCTGTCTAATTATAGCCAGCAGCTCTTCCTTTAAGGTAGAGGTTCTCAAGCTTGGATGCATAGTAAAATCACTTGGGGAGCTTTTAAAACTCTGAATGCCCAGACCAATTAAATCACAAAGTCTGGGGATTGGGACACAGACCTCAGCATTTTCTAAAGCCACTGAGGTGATGCTAAAGTTGAGAAAAGCCACTCTGTGCAGACTGGTAGTGACTTAGCAAAAACTTCACATAGAATCCCTCAGGAGCAGAAGCACTCAGGATTTCTGACTGACAGCTTGGCATCGATGAGGAAGGTCCACACAGAAAAGTGAGGCAGCCCTTACAGAATATCCTGATGTGCAGAATCTGTTTTGACTTGAGCTACCTCCGGAATGGGACAAACTAGGCATTGGATGTGGGTTAAAAGCCTGAACCGACTTGCTTACAGTCATTAGCATTTCTGTTCATTTTTTTTTGTAGTTCTGAATTCAGCTAAACTCTCACTGAGTAGAAAATACTGACTGTTGAGTGCATATCCCTGCCTTTTCCTCTGCCATTAGAGGCATGAAGCCAGCCTAGTGATGGGTGACATCTAAAACCACTGCCACCATATGGCTGTATGACTTACAGATAGTTATATTTATCATATACTGGACGTCTGGGAAAACCACGTATTGTACATGACCTAGTAAATGTCCTTTTTTGTCAAAGCTCCTAGAATCCCGTTGCTTTAACCCATAACTATGTGCTTTATTAAGAAGTCTTTGATAGAAAGTTAGTTTTAGAAGGGGAGAAGTAAAAAAATGCATCCATCCATTTATTTTGGAATAGTAAGGCAAAGAGTCTGTTTCTTGGGAAGTCCTTGCCTGTCCCTGCTCCCTACCCCCGCCAAAAGATGTCTTTTAATGGGAAGTCCTGATCAATAGCCTGCTTCTGTTTAACATTTTAAATCTTTTTATTTTTGCCTCAGCCTTTTATTAACATGAAAGTTCGTATCATAAGCTCTGCTCTGGTTTGCCTTCATGTACTCATTGTATATCCCCCTCCCTTTTGTATAGGAAGACAGAGATGTCAATAACCCCCTGCCTAACCGAGGAGGCAATGGATTAGCTCCTGGGGATGACAGATTCAAACCCGTGGTACCATGGCCTCATGTTGAAGGAGTAGAAGTGGACTTAGAGTCTATTAGAAGAAAAAACAAGGCGAAAAATGAACAAGAGCGCCATGCTGGAGGAGATAACCAGAAAGACATAATACAGAGGCAGTATCTCACATTTAAGCCTCAGACATTCACCTACCGAGATCCTGTGCTACGCCCGGGGATCCTCGGTAACTTTGAACCCAAAGAACCTGAGCCTCATGGAGTGGTTGGTGGCCCTGGAGAGAAAGCCAAGCCATTGGTTTTGGGACCAGAATTCAAACATGCAGTTCAAGCCAGCATTAAAGAGTTTGGATTTAACATGGTGGCAAGTGACATGATCTCACTGGACCGCAGCGTCAATGACTTACGACAAGAAGAGTAAGCACACATCCTCTTCTTTCTAAAACTGGGCAGCTATTGTTTTTGATAGATATTGAGTTAGATTGTTAGGATGGAGAAAATAGTTTTGCCTTTATTTCAAGGAGATAAAAGGCTCTTCGGTCTGCAAAATGGCCAGAAGGAGGAGACCACTTCATTTATGCCATTAGATTGAAGGTATGACATATAAAATTCTGGGGGTTTTACATCAGTGCTGCGCAATCGTCGCTAGCACCAGGCTGTGAATTTTTTGTTACCAATCCACAGTGAGAACAGGAACTTGTACCAGAGTGTGAATCAACTGTTAAAAATTTTGTTTAGTACAAGTGATAATTTTTTAATAACAGAACTTTCTTGATGTGTGGATTTTCATTCTGGATCAAGCTGCTTGTCTTGTGGAATAATAACAAATAGTAATGCTGCTTTAGATGTCTTACATCACTAACTAGATGCTGATGTTTCCCATAATTCTTTTTCTCAGTACTGCAGCTGGCAATTGAAACTCTTGAGGATATGCAGAAGGAGCACCCAAACAGATAAACCTTCACATTATTTTCATGTAGTTTGATTTAAAATCAAGGGTTTCCAACTCTTAACTTTTGACAGACAGTGGTTACGGGATGAACTCAAAGCTTTTTCTAAACCGGTTCTGCTCATCTAGGATCTAAGTAGCCCCTAATAACACGGATGCAAATTCAATTCCGTGCTGCTAGAAAACTCTCAAAATGTATTCTGGTGTGTTGTTAATATAATCCTAAGAGGCTAACACCTTTATGCACACACGCAGACCCCACAACAGCGTTCTTTATGATCACTAAAAAGATTCTGTACCTGATATAGTGCTACTTAGTAAACCTTGGACTTTCATGTATTTATTGGTAAGACTGAGACAGGGTGAGTGAAATGTGCAAAGAAAGTCGAGGAATAGAAGTAATAGAACCATGGTGGGGAGACACATAACCTCTTTTCCAGAGAAGAGTTAGAACATCTCAAGGGACGTGAAGGAAGAATTATCCTGGCTCAATTTATTCCAAATTAAAGTAGAGACTTGCCTAGTCATAAGGTTGCCAGATTTAGCAAAAATAGAGGACACTCCGTTAAATTTGAGTTTCAGACGAACGATGAAAAACATTTAGTCTAAATATATCCCAAACAGTATATGGGACATACTTATACTTTGATGTTTGTCTGAAGCCTGAATTTGACTGGCTGTCCTATACCTCTCCAGTCAGGGGCTGAGGGTGGCTGTTAACAGAGCTAGAACTGCCCTGCCAGTACTCTTTAGGACCCAGAAGAGGCTCTGTAGCCCCTTATCTGGAGTGTGTCCCGGTTAACTAAAATATAGCACTTAATCATACTGTCAGTCTGTGTTACAGAAGGTCCTCTGAGAACCTGTTGATGGCATTCTCATCATGGGGCTGGGGGGGGACGCGCACGGAGAGTAACATTTATTGACTTTCTACTTCATGCCAGGACTTACTATAGGTTCTCTTAATTCCCGCAACCAAACTGTGAGAGAGTTCTTACCCATGTAAGTCAAGTCCGAAGCTTGGAGCTCTGACTGCTTTGTATTTGCCCTGCGGTTCAGCCCAAGGTGGTTTGGTGTGAAAGGCCTATCTTTCCACCACGCCTCACCTCACTGTGAGTCTCTTCACGGGTGATACAGCCTCAGTGCATCATTACAGTCAGTGGGTGAGCTAAGTGTGGAAAGAGTTTTAGCACGTGAACTGTTTATAAAAGATCATTAAAAACACCAATATAAAGCTAGCTCGTTTTTTCCATTTAAGGAATCTGCTAAGAAAATCAAATGATGACATACGAGGCGGAAGGAAGCGCACAGGATTAGAGTCCTCCTCTGTGTCTCCCTTCCCTTCACCCTTCACGTCCATTCTAATCTGCAAGGCCTCTAGCTCCCGTCACCAAAATATGTCTCAGGTTATTTCTGAGGTGCGTTCTTTCACCCCTACTGCCTCCACCCAAGTCCAAGCCACCCCCCTCTCCCTTAGAATCCTGTAGGAGTCTCCTTCATGGCTTCTCCTCCTTCCTAGTCACACAGAAGCCAGTGTGGCATGGGAACCACACAGATGTAGCTTATCTACAACAACTCTTTGCCTTCCCAGTGCACTTAAATATACCCCCAACTCCTAACCGGCAGCGGCAACCCTTCCCCGCCTTGACGACCTCCTCTTGTTACCGGGGCCCATTGCGCTCTGGCTGGGCTGGCCTTTTCTGGTCTCTTTGATGTGTTCTTCCCTCCTCTTTGAATGCTTTTCCCCTTCTTGTGGCTGGTTCCTTCCCATCAGTTAAGTCTCAGTAGAACCTCTCTGACCATGCTGTCTGGTTGGTAATGCCCTGCTGTATTTTCTAATACCACTCTCTGGCCATTTCATTCATAGTATTTATCTAAGTTTATAATTTATCAAATTTATATAGATCCTGATTTATTTCGTTGTTTATTGACTGTCTTTCTCACTACATGATAAGGTAGTAAAGAATATATCCGTTTTCTTCACCAGTTCCTTCCAGTAGCTGACATCCATTTGGTAAATATCTGTTGAGACAATGAATAAGTGACTGACTGACTGAATGAATGGAATCTGCTAGGTTCAAACCTTGGCTCTATCACCAAATGTGAGATCTTAGGTCAGTTACTTACGCTCTCTAGCTCTCAGTTACCTAATCCTTAACATGGGTCTAACAATACCTATCTCCCAGGATTGGCATTAGAATTAAATGACGTAATGGGCTAAAAGTATTTTTTCACAGGCCTGGTGTTAGAAACTAAAGTGTTCTTGACATTACTACTACTAGTATTACTATTATTATTATTATTATTGCTGTGGTACTTTCTTCAGATCACATATCTTCCGGTCAAAATTTTAATGTCTTCAGTATTATTAACTTTGAGGTCCTCTGTTGCTTTTTGGAAAAGGTAAATGTCACACATGGCCTTATCTTCATTTCACTTCTACTTGTACCTTCTGTGATGGCAAAGCCTTCACCTTTCCTTTGATAAATTTTTTAGACACAGCAATTGCCACTCGAACCTCCCATCTCTCTGAGTCCTCCTTGCTCTCCTATAATGTCCTTTCTTCTTTCTGTCTGTCTGTCTCTCTTCCCTCCATCCTTTCTTTCTTGCCTTCCTCATTGCATCTCTCCTTCCTTCTTTCCTATCCTTTCTTTTCCTTCCTTCTTCCATGCCTTGCATAGGCTGATTGTTTCCCATGTTCTTTTCTCTTGCATAAGTACTTAGAAATAGGATATTGCATGTTTCTGTGTATCATTCCTGTAAGGGTTGTGTCCCCAGTCAAGCAAAAAGACCCAAGGCTATCTCCTCAAATGCTCCTAAGCCCCTCTTCAATATTTCTATGTTAGTGAGAAAACGTTTTTTTGTGATTCAAAATACTCTAAACATTCTAACCCCCAGAAACTTTTTTTAACTGAATCCAGATTATTTTTTAAACTTAAAAAGAGACATAAGCTTCATCCTCTTTGAACACTGAATGCAGAATACTAATTTCTAAGAGTTATTCATAAATTAGGATGTAAGTAGTCTTAAGAATTTATGAACAGACCAACAACAGATAAAACATCCCTAAATTTTGCATATTATCCAACTGGCATATTAGCACTTGTCTTCTTTTACCGGAAACCTATTGAAAACATAGCATGCATCCATATCACACACGCACAGCCTCCCTCATGCTCCTCCCTCGTGGAAAGTACGCTGCACAGAGCCCACCAGAGACTGGCTTGTGCAGCTGACTTTCTGCAGCTTTGGCAGATAGACCTTATCAGCCTTGTTGTCTTGCTTCCATCAGACGTTTAAATGAGCCACCTGCCAAATTTAAAAAACCAAGCTATGGGACTGTTTGTCCAGCTGTGACATCTGACCCTGTGGTTCACTTGTTCATTCTTATGGCTGCTCCCCTGGCTTTTCAGATGAATGTTCTCTGCCTTAGGAGCAGGAGGAACTGCCCAGCTGCCAACATGACTCATACTTATGTATGTTACAGCTTTGAATTACATGCACTGGCTGAGTAATTTACTGGCTGTTGATTGCTTGTTAAAAGAGTGAGTAATCGTATTTTGAGTGAACTGGAGGCCTGCTTCTTTTTTAGAGACTTGATCCAAGAATGACTTCACCTGCCTTCACACATATTTTCTATTAAAAAAAACACACATTCAGGTTTCTTCACAGTTCAACAGATACCAAGTATCTCCAATAAGCAACACACTGTGCTAACCCATCAGGAGATGCAGTAAAGACAGAATACAGTCCCTGCCTTCAGGGGGCTCCCCGTCTGCCCCTGGGGAGAAGGGCAAGAAATCCATAGCATAAGAGTCGTGGGAGAGGGCTGAGCAAAATGTTGTGCTTCAGAGGAGTGAGGGGCATGTCAAGTCACAGGAGAGTCAGAAAACGTTTGATGGAGAGAACGCCAAGAATGAAGCCTGGAGGATGTAGAGAGGGTTTCCCCGGGAAGAGTTACAAGTTGAGAAGACATAAAGGTAGGGATTGACTAGGAAGAAAGCAAGTGGCAGAGTATCCCTGGATCAGGAAGTATGCATAGAGAAGCTGCCATGCTAGGTTTGGTCGCGCGTAGAAGATCACAGTGCCATTCACAAGTCTATACCGACTGGTGGTCAGGAAAGACCCACTGAAGGTGACAAAGAGAACTTCAGGAATGTCAGACTGATAAAGGTGCTGAGAGTGGACCGGGAGTGGAGAACCGCTTGAGGGCTAGTAGCGTCAGAGCAGGAGCTTCAGTGAAGATTACAGAACCAGAAGAAAGTCTCGATGTAAGAGAATAGGAGAGTTAGAATCAGTAGGCCTTGGCAGCTTGACGAAGTGGAAGGCGGAATGAAAGACAGACCCAAGGGCAGTCACACAAAGAATGGCACTATTAACAGTGCCTCGTACTATTAACTGCTCTGCCCAGAGCACAGTTACCTAAACCACTTTTCCCCTCCAGCTTGCTTGCTTTATATATTTATTTGTT